GAACCTACTACTACCGACTGACATCGTTCCGATAAATAGTTACGAATAAGCCCACAAGCTTCCTGAGAAAAACCGTAGTATAGAAGTTTATCACACAAAACATTACGATCAATAGTATCGAACGCCTTAATATAGTCTAGTAGAATCAGGTAAACTAGTTGGCCTTTATCAATTGAAGTGAGAATGTCATCGGTGATATTTAGTAAAGCTGTAGTGGTGCTATGAGATTTTCGGAAACCAGATTGAACCGAAGTTATAATATTATTTGTTTCAACGAAATAACATATTTGATATATTTGATATAATGAGTTGAAGTTATTTAAGCTTCAAATCCTTTTTGTAAACATATGTTTATCTCATAAATCTCATAATATTGGTGACAAAAAACTTACATTTGGAGCTGGTTGCATTGTCATATTCCTCCATGCAATGCGAGCAGTTTCCATGTACGATCGTGAAGTTTTCCAAATCCTGTTGGTCAATCCTCAAAACTGCTGTCAAATTCCCCTCAGAATCTTCCTCGGAAGTCAGATTATAAAAATTATCATCCAAAAGTTCCAGAGTCCAAGTAACGTTTTCTGTTTTCTTCGTGTCCTGATCCGGGGATGAATCATTTTTGACCTGGGCAGATACATTAGTTTGCTGCTCTTCCAGGAGGTTTTCCTCTTGAGAAGTGTGCTGATAGTGTTGAATTTTTTGTTCGGATTCGAGTTCGATGGAATCGTTGCTCAACAACACTGGCATCTTCATCAGTTTGTAGTGTCGGGGTGATCGGTTATTGTGGGAAGTGGACTCATCCAGATGGATATAATGGTGGTGGATATGTTCGTCAGAGTGGTTACCTCCTGGCGAGGCCCTGAGTAACATTAATGTCAGACAACAGAAAAAAATAAGATAATAATAATAATATTGTTCCATAAAGTCACGTTTCAGTCATCGTGAGTTAACGCATATTACAAATATACAAGGAAGGGAGATTTTGGTATAATCTTCATATATAAAAAATGGTAATTCACTTCCATCCAGAAGGAAGGAAGTATTTGAGACAAACACTCTCATATGAACTTTGAATTATACAAAAAACACTTCTTTCTATTCAGTTGGTACTCCAATCATTCATTGAGGAATTGAATTAGATGAAATTCATAGGATTACTACACAATATAGTTCATTAAAGAGGTGAAATTCCACTTACATGGAACACTGTTATCCCATCATAGATCATGAACACTGAACAATTTTTTCGAAGAGTAGTTTATTTTCATTGCTCTCTATTACATCACGTTAAAAAAAACAATAGTATTTCTCTTGGAGTACCATTTTTATTATATTCAGCTGATACGGAAATGACAATCTCAGGCATGAATTTAAAACAATCACCATCATTTTGTCAAGACTCAATATGATTAAATTGAAGAGAGAATATGACCTCATCAAATTTTCTCTATTTTTTGTAAGTTTCTCACCTGTTATGATGAAGAATAGATAAGTAGAAAGCCGAAATGATTCTCTCAATATTATATCTTTCGAATTTACACAAAAAACTGAAAGTATGAAACGTACATACTTCGCAAATGCATGAACATTCAATAAAGAAACAATACTATTTGTTTATATGATCATCGAAACAAACTAATTGAGTTTAGTTTCGTTTTTTTTTTCAAATGTCATGGAAGATATAAAATATCCACAGTTGAAAATTCAATCAATATCTAGTTTAGAATATTTTAAGATAAATACTATTACATACTATTACATACTACATACTATTTCTTCTTCGACTATCATCATCTAATTTGAATAAATAAGTGTAAATTCAACTGAGATTATTTGAGTTAGTTTTTTTTTATTCCTGGATTTCACTTCTTTATTTATATGTATCATTTCTAGAAAAGAACGTTTGTAGGAATTTTGTTCAATTTCTAAAATACTAGCATTAGTATAGTCCATTTGGTGGTCTAATGAATTTACATGTTCTGATAATGCACATGATAAAACAT